TCATTCGAGGAGGATAAGGAAGGTGTGGGAAATAATGTTACGCATTATTTTTTTTTAGCGCTTACACCCATACTTGTATGCGTTATTGTTGTAGCAGATCCTTTACAACCACAAGCAACATGGATGATGCACATACTCCTACGCTGTTAGTAGTGCTAGTTCCCGTCACGTAATGGCCGAGTTCATGCTCGTGCCAGTACAGCAACAATGAAATTCAATCCAGCACAGGCGTGTTCCACTGGACAGTATGCAGTTGCAACATTCTGTACAGCACGAGCATGAACTTGGCCTTAGCTTCACAACAGGACTTTTAACATTAAATGAAAAGTGAAATATGACTCATCCAGAAGAGTGAATTCATTTTTAAGCGTAAAATGTGAAAATAGCGCCACTAGATGGTTCCCAAAAGTATCTTGACTAAGGTACTTTTGAGAAGGCCAAGTAAACTCGCATCTTCAAGTATGAAAAACTGTTCTGCCTCTTCCAGATTTACCGGAAAGTGGACTTATTTAGCGATGAGCTCCTACGTTCATTATCGTCCTTCACAATAAACAAGAAAACAAAGTATGGAGACCCAAGAACCGAGAAGACAGGAACAGATAGGAGAAAGGAAAAAAATTGTAATAGGACTACTCTGATAATTGATGGAGAAGTGAACCGTGTCCCTATTTTCCGCAGAGAAGATAGTAGAGCTGAAGTCCTCATCGGTTGATTGCACATCCATGACTGGGAAGCGGGTGGCCTCCATTCTACTACATCTCTCTTTCCAGGAACGTAGGTGGAGAGCGTACCTAGGTAGTTAAGGGTAAGTAAGTTTACTTCCAGTATCACTCCCAAAGTGGCCGTGGACCCGATTGGACGCTGCCCGCTGTCCATTGCCACCACTTTCATGCGGGGGAGGAGCGTGGATTGGAGTCAGTGCCTCTTCCATCATGATCGTCCTAATCCCGCATCAACCAAAAACATTTCCATAAATCCCCTTGCACGTATTTTTGAAAATGAAAGTACATTATCCATGAAATTAAGATGGGCTTTGAAGATAGGAGGAGTGATGGGAAATAGCCCAGAAAGGGAATTATAAGCAATAGTTTAGCTATAAAGGCTATATAAATAATATAATCAAAATCTGTATTTTTCTTTGCTTTCCTTGACAAAAAATCGTTCAAGAGGCCTGCTATTTTTCCACAGAATGTCCTTTCTTTGGGCTTTCCCACGACAGGCAGGTGGCCTATGTGCGTGCACGTTTTCCGGGTTTACTGATGTGCTCCACTCAGACGTCATTTGAGTACATGATTGTCTTCACCCGATGAAACGGCTTATGAGAATGTGTGAAGAAGTACTGGAGAAATTCACTTTCCAATTACTAATAACCATTGATACGCACTGGCACAAATCCACTATAGCGATATTTAAACTTTTATCATTAGAGTGTAACTAGAGGAGACACTCAAATTAATCCCGTTGAGTCGAGGAATCCCATTCCTTGACAGGGTCGCAATATAGATGTCGCTAGCGTGGGCACATCAACTCCTCCATGACCGAACAGCGGACTCAACGAAACACACGTGTTACGTTGAGGGATCCGATTGGGTCAAATTCCCTATTCCGCTGCCACAAAGTACGCCTCATGGAAGTGTTGTTGATAAGAAAGCCACCAGGTGTCTCTGTAATATTTCGATCCTCTCCTACCCCTCGGAGTGTCGTCTCTAGTTACACTCTCTACTCTATGCTTTCACCAGCCATGGAGTGAAGCACCTCAGAGTCCATGCGCATGACAGCACACGCGCCCTGATGTGGAACATACGGAGGATATACCACACAAGGCAATGCAGAGGGTACGAGGGGTGGTGGTGTGACGTGACATCAACGGTAGAGTTCGCGCAAATACTGAGCGGCAATCGAGAAGAACCGAAAAGCTCTATAGGTTCAAAATAGACTCCTGCGCGGACTTCAAAGAGACCTACGTACACTTTCATAAAGAAAACAAACCATGGGATTTACACCGGAGGCAGAGAGAGGCTTTCCCTGACTTTGAAGACGATGAGGGGAAGATACTGGGGGCAGGAGCCCTGCTGCACGCTCAGACAGCGCCAAACCTAATTTCACATTCAACATATGGGACATGTTCAGAATGCTCATAAAGGGGTAAAAAGCCTCAAGTGAGCAAAGAAGCCCCCAAGAAACACTTTAGGACATTTAATCAGTTGCTATCATTGGTGGCTCTTCAGAGCGCCCCTAACAATCGTGCACGTGAACGGAGAAGGGTAAACATCCTTGGATTCAAGCGTGTGCCTGTTAGTCGAATCTGGCTGCCGGCGTGTGCATCCGTAGCCGCTCTGAAGTCCAACTTTACAATTTACGGTCATACTTATTAGGAAATCCATTCATTTTTCGCTGCTTCGTGATTTCTTTCTATGGTATATGCATGTGAGACGAAGCTGGAATGTATTCCGAACAAATTCTGCCACTCGATATCGTTCTGCTATGCACTCGTATCATTATTTATTTTTTTTAAAACCATTTTTGGGGGCAAGCACATATATGACATATAAAATTAACCAAGAATGCTTAACTCACTCCTCAGAAATTTTCGGATATTTTATTTGCAAACTTCTGTGGCAAAACCGGCCAGCAGAAAAATCTGCGAAAAGCTAACATTAAGGAAAATGTTTTAGATTATGGCATCTCTAAAGCAGCGCGATTTTTTTTCTCCTCACACTATATTGTACTTTTAAAGGATTGATCGTTTTCAAATAAGATAGAGTGATTTTTTTCCCCCCTGCTACGGTTAGACACGGAATATAAGGGGATGGGAACCCAAGATTGAAGTTGCAATCATCCTAGTCTGGCTCTCACTCGTGTGACATATGGCCCTTGCCATGTTGCAAGTTACAGGAAAGTTCGCAGATGGATAGAACAAGGTTGTCGGTTTAATACCAGTCGAAAACAATGGAATATAACGGTCCTTAAGGGAGGCTTGTCTCGTGCCACAATGTCATGCCGAAAACCAGCAGGTCAATTTACGCAAAAACAGAGTGGCTTTCTTTTCCGAAACGAGCTCAGCGAAAGAGAAACGAGCTTTTCGCATATCAACGCGACATTCTTCCTGGCCTTGTGTGCTCTAGCGCAAAATAAACTGACACGTGCGGCCTGTTGCGTTGCTCTGTGAAAATGAAATGACCAATCCAGCGTGATCTGTACGAAATTAATCGACACCAGACTGACTTTTTCCGCACAAGTGCCAGCAGCCTTTTCACTTCACTTTTCACGAAGAGCCGAAGCCATCGTGTTTTTCAAACACGAAATCATCATTCTCGTAAATCGTCATTCTCGATGCGCAAGTTCTGCATTACCTTCTCTGTTCGCCGTTGCATCCAATCCAGCACAACGCATTTGCGATTCGTTTGCCACGCCCACGTGGTAGTGTCACCAGATGGTGCGCTCATGGGTCGGATGGCGCAATTTAGTGTTGCCAGATGGTGTGCTCAAGGGTCGGATCGCGCAATTTAGAGTTTAGGTCTCTTACAGGTAGTTTATTTCTGTACATCTCTATATTGTTCTACCGTGTTTGATCTGCATTTAATCAGATTTTCTGTTGATATTAGCTAACGTGATTGAACAGACCTCCTAAACTCCAGGGTTTGGCTTAAACACTAATTTGATCATTAACAAATGAAGGTTTACTCTTAAAGCTTCTTACTACAGCCGATCAAGCAGAGTTTAACCGATTAATTTGTGCATTTGGATAGCCGCGATACCTAGGAACTGAGTTCATTAGGAAGACTGAACGATTCACAGTTTGCGAGGTCAATAAAATAGCAGAATGTTTCCGAATGTAGACAGTACTAAATTACAATTGGGAGACGCACAATATTTATCACAGAGCTCTATGGTTTCAGCAAGAAAAGTAAAAAATTTTCCGGAAAGTACACTTACTTGAATTTAAATATAATGCAATGGAATGCTGCATTTACGTCCCATAAATTTTCTGTACAATTGTAACGGCTAAATGTGCTCCAATGCCACAGAAGCACGGAGACCGAAAGTTTCCTTAAGCCTAGCAAGCATTCTACTGCAATACTTGAAGCATTTGATCAGGCTTGATGAAGGATCAGGCTTCGAGCAACTTCTTGAGTTCTTTCACGATTGCCAGCGAGTAGAAACGCTGCTGGTCATCATTACAAATTTGATATAGGTATCATTGAAATCCCATGTAAATTTGGTTTCCTATGGGATCTTCCGGGGTGGCCAAATCTAGAGTGACACCGTTAATTAGACTTTCCTCGAGTGACCCCTTGTATTGAGATATCCTTGCACTTCCTCATTGCATCTCAAGTTCCTTTTTACGCCATAATTACCGGAAACACTTCCCTGTGTGCTTCAACGTTGGCATGCGCTTATGAATGTAAGGAGGACTCGATGGCGGATACAAATGAGGCGTTAGTGCTGGAGATTTGGGGATGAGAAAAAATTAGTTATGATCTAGCGTGATTCATAGGTTCCATAGGTGCACATGATGACATCAAGAGGGAAAGAGCAACGAACACAAGTGCGTTCACAAATGACGCATCTACTAGGCATATACATGTCGCAGTATCCACACGCGCCACGTAAGCGAACGACAAGATACGTGATCACTGATCTCAACCTGTATATATTCTGGTATTGCGAGAGCTCTCCACATTAGTATCAGGAAGCGCGGACAGCCATGGGATTTTCACATCTCACACGATTTCTTCCTCTCATTGTCCTGATTCACGGCTTGGTTTGAGAGGAACACTCTAATACATTTCGGTACTGTGTAATATACTGAATTCAAGGAATTTTGCTCTCGTTCCAGGATGGATTCGATGGGGACCTTAGAGACTTGGAAGAACCGGCGAAGAGGCAGACGCCACCATGCTATTCAATCCTGAAGCTATCTCGGGGACAATCAACACCTCTGACCACTGGAAACAATCAATTTATTCGCCCTTGCTTTTGGGGTTTCCAAGTTAGTCATGGAGTCTTTCCTTTTCTTACAACTCTGAAGTGATTTTGATTAATCAAATGCCAAGCAAAATAAGTCATTTTTTCCCAGTGCCCAGAGAACATTTTCATTCAATGCTCCAATGCCAATGTACCTTGTCGTTATTCATGGTTCAGCGTCAATGGCAGAAGGTATACCCGAGAGGATTTTCTTTCCTGGTGTCGTTAGCCTTCATGAAGGTGCAGAGAATTAGTTCGAAAACATTCCATTACAAAGGTATTGCGGATCAGGGAGATTGAACTCGGTCAATGTGGGAAGATTTTTAACCGTCCAACTCTATCAGCGCTTCGGAAGGGGCGCCACATTCAGCTGCACTGTAAACTGCGGTCAGTTTCGCTTCATCCAAAGTATTTATGTATATTGAAGAGATAAGAACCGTTTCTTAGATCAATCTACTTCTAATAGGGTCTGTTACTACGGCGACAACCCCAACGACGACGACAACTCCAACGACGACGACAACCCCAACCACTACGACAACCCCAACCACTACGACAACCCCAACCACTACGACAACCCCAACCACAACGACAACCCCAACCACTACGACAACCCCAACCACTACGACAACCCCAACCACTACGACGACAACTACAGCTCCTGCTTGCCGTGAGTAACCACACGTTCATTGAGAACTATTGGTGTTCCAAAATAACTATGAATTGCTTTCTGACCCACTTCCAGTCTGTGGTGTGTCTCAGAGCGGTAGTTCAGGCAAGCGATCAACGGGGACAGACATGACTGAAGAGATGCCGGATATAGATCGGATCGTGGGAGGGGTGGAGGTGACAAACCAAGGGAAGTATCCCTGGATGGTTTATTTTGGGGGATGCGGAGGAACTCTCATTAACGACCGCTACATCCTCACCGCTGCTCATTGCGTCACGTCTGTTCATTTCCCATCCGATCTTTTCTTAATGCAAGGTTTGAGTTTCTCAAGTTCTTTTCTTTTACATCCATAAAAAATCATTATCATTCAAACTGAAGCGAGGTAAGCCAAAGCCTCACCTAACGAACGGAGTGAAGCTTTTATAGTTCTGTGCGAAAAAATAAACCCATCATTTAAAACAGGCAATTCATCCTGTGTCTGAAACTCCACCGGTTTGGAAACGCTGTATCAGTCAAGCCTCTGAAAGTTGAAAGGAGAAATTTCGCAAAAGTAACTTCAGCTGTGGATGAATTGTGCGAGAAAGCAGACAGCTTTTCTCCTTAGGACCAACAGTCCAAAATCCCAAAGAGTATAATCCGCAAGTCCTGGTCGTTTGAAGATACAGTATTCAGCATTTTTCATGGTAATGAAAGAAAAATCAGCATACTTAAGTTTCCTTTTTGGATCCGAGTGTACATGTTTTTCTACTTTTCCTTTTGGATTTGAGTTACTATTAGGGCTATACCAGTGGCCGCATTTTTCCAGTCGGCCGATGGTCAATTATTCTCTTATACCTATCGGCCGGTGCCGTTGCCGGTGCCTATTGTGACGTAGAGAAATAGCAAAAAAGCATTGGAGAAAATTTTTGTAAAAGTCAAATAGACATATTACGAATACACATTCAATTTTATTATTGCCTCCACGCTGGGTGTTTCGAATACACCCATGTATCGACCTGAAACATCGATAGTGCATTGATGCTGGCGGGGGGGGGGGGGGTCGGCAGATTCAGTCTTTTCTCACTGCGATCGGGATCAGATTTCTGCCTCGTTTCCGCCATTTCTTGCTTCGATCGGGGCGTGGACCTGTATCCGCCTTCCATAATCTGTCGCCTGTGATTCGAGGAATTAGAGGGGGAGGTGACAAAGCCTACCATACCTCAACTATCGAAAATGACATCAATGGCATCGATGACGAAAATGACGTCGATGGATGAACTGCGATGGCCCTAATTTCTTCCTATTGAGAATTAGTTACCGAGTCCCGTTCACGTGGTTTTTCTTTTCCTCGTTCGGCATGTTATTCTTTGAACATCGGCACCGTTTCCAAACCTGCCTAATAGTCCAACACCAGCGGCCAATACATCGGTACAGCCCTAGTTGCTATGAATCTTCTGCAGCAGAGAGTGATTCAAGATTTCGATTTAGCTGCGAGGCATGAGCTAATTTCGAGATTCCTGTAAACCACCTGAAGCCAACTTAATAAATGACGGGCCCGGTTGGCGAAAGACATGATGCGTTTGGACAGCAATCGCATTTAGCGCAGGGCGAAGGTCAAGCGATTTATGCACCCATAAGCTTCTTGCTACCTGATGCCTTGAACCACGAAAAATATGCACACTAGGAGGGTGGGGCGTGATTTTCGGTGTCGTGAAGGTGAAAGCCAGAAATATGCCATTCATGAACAACCCAGTCGCTTGTCTACACTTCCAGATTCTATGGTTACTTTATAGACTACTAGTTGAAGTACCCGGCTATGCCCGGGAAATGCAATATTTCACGCATGACAAATTCGGGAACGTTGGCCTTATGGTCCTATAAGTTACCGATCTTTAGTGTAGCAAAATACGCTCAGGTCCCATTCCGCTTTTTATTCCTTTATTTTTTTCTAACGCTTTGAATAATTTCTAAATTATTTTGGAGTAATAAAACTTCTTGGTAAAATGTATTTAACGTTTTAAAACATATTTTCGATTAAAACTATCTCGATAGAAGATTACTTACTATCAACTGTGGTGATCCAGCAATGGGATTACCCCGGTGTACTGCAATGCAGGTGGCCAGGAGGGGAGAAAGGATATACTATACATTTACCGGTCATACAGTAAATGCATTGGCACCCAAAAAAATGTGTGCAACTCTGTGTGGAATTTTCTATTCGACTGTCAAAGAGTGTCCAGATCGGGGGAAGATCTGCTACTTTTCCCGTCTTGTCGACATTTGAGTTGATAAGGGCGAACAACTTGCGGCTAAACATTTCTCCGATGAATTATTTTTGAATTTTCGAGCGGTTTCCGTAGCATTCGGAGTAAAATTGAACTTTTGGTGGAAGCAGCATCTTCATGAGATCAAGCGCTGAGAAAGTTATTAACGTTGAAAAGGTGAGCAGGACTTTTAACTCACCCTGTACATAGAGATATAACTACCAAATAGAGTAGAATAGACACGAACATTTTAAATGGATTTTTTGGATGCAAATATCCGATATCTAATTTATGAAAAATTTAATCATTTATGAAATATCATATAACTTTCAGCATTCTCCATTCGATTGAATCGTTTTTTCCGATAAAGACCGTCGGAGAGGTACACGGTGACCCTGGGTGATCTGGACAAATCGATCAGCACAGAAAGCAAATCCATTACTATCGCTTCGACAGCCATCCGCCATCCACAATATAACTCAAGCACAAACAACAACGACATAGCACTGCTGCAGCTGGACACCCCCGTGAATTTCCAAGCCTTTCCCAACATCCGTCCTATCTGCCTCTCGTCCTCTGCTAAACCAGTGACGGGCCAGAATACCATCATTGCCGGATGGGGCACCACTTCCTTCGGTAAGTCGAGGATCATAGCATCTAGCTTCCTACATTAACATTACACTCCTTTGTGCTCATTGTTTCACCAAGCTTCGGTGCTCACTTTTTTTCGGTACTCACATTTTTTTCTAAATTAACCCAATCTTGACGAAATTAATTTCTGGAAGGGAAGAAATAACTTTTTGTAGTCTTCTCGGAAACAGGGAAACTGATTTCTCATCTTTACATATATATAAATAAGTCCTTCCACGGCGCCGGTATTGGAGGTATGAGGGGGGGATGAACCACATCCCAGACCTCATACTCGCCTAATTCTGAAGGACACGGCGAAGGATGCAGACCGTGCACAAGATCGCTGTACGCTCGATAATGACTGCGACACGGCGGATGTGAAGACGGCAGCCCAAATACAAAGAGAGGTTCGATGGAAGGAGAAACCGCTTTACGGCCAGCATCCCAAGATCATGGATCGACTCGGACTTCAGCTATAACTGGCTGAAGAAGGGACTGTTGAAAGCCGAGACAGAGAGCAATTCAGGACCAGTGTATCAGAACTCGTAACTACGAGAAGCACATCCTGAAGCTAGATGTGGAAGACCGCTGCAGATGCTGTCATGGACATATAATATAATAAGATGGATATTCACTGACAGAAGGGGAAGTCCTAGACCAGCCATTGCTCTGCACCAACGCGAACCCTCCGACAGATATCTAAAAACTATTGTGAAAGGCCAAGCAAACAAGTGGGTCCAGGCGGAAGAAGGCTATAGAGGAAAAGAAAACGAAGCTCTAGGCCAGCGCTGCCCAACCTCCGGACCGCGAGCTCCCATCCTACGGACAGCAAACTGAGATTGCTATTTATCCGGGATTTCCCAGACGGCTCCGAAATATTAATTTCTGTCATCTCAATGATTCCTGTTTCTGTCAGGTGTTGATCTCCCTATTTCTGAGTTTTTCTGGCTTCTTTCCCCTGCCCCTCTCCTGCTTCGGCACGGGACAATAATGAAGTCTCGAAGCAGGAAAAAAGTTCCAAATGCCTCCATTCCTCTACGCTGGAAGATATCTCCTTCTCATTTGACTCGCAACCGCATCCCCTCCCACCTCACCGATCTGATATCGGCATTATCTGATAATGAATGCCATCTCTAGCGCAGAAATTTTACTTCCGGACCGCGAGACAGGCGGGACATGAGTTAAATGGACCTCCCCACCAAACACCTGCTCTAGGCCAGGGTTTTTACGCTTTTCGACCGGCTTCATCAGGGGGTGCACGGCTGGCATTGAGCATCAACAGCTGTTACAACCTGTTTCTGCGGTCAAACTAGCAAAGTCAGGAGTATTAGATAGAACATGGAAGTACTACCCATTCCAAGGACAAACCCAGCTGAAGTCTCTCTGCACATGCCATTCTCTGTTATTGATTAGTTCAAAATGTCTCGCGACCAAGCTACTCGAACTGAGTTATAGGCCAAGCAGCCAATAGACGACGTTCAGCATGTGCAGAGATGGCGATGCCAAAATTTCCCTGGTGAGGGAAGCCTTATTACCACATATGGACATCTACGAATTGACCTACACCCGATAGGTTACTAAAAGCTTTTATCCATCTAGAGGTAAGCAGGACGAGAAAGAAACTCAATCACCTTTTTTTTAACACTGGGAATATGAATTTGCCGCAATCCGAACCTGTTTATAGGTTCGAAAACAAGTCCTTGTTATTGTAAAAATGAAATATTCAGTTTCTCCACTAAAGTATTTGATTTAAATTTAATTTTTAAAAATTCCCTGCTTCTTTTGAGCTACAAAACCTTTAAATTGCTGAATAAGAAACTTCGAGGCATGCCCATTGCACATCAGGCTTTGATATAGATCACAGTTTTGCCTAAACCCCCCTACATTAGTGCAAATCTTGAGGTCAGCCATTTTGAAGGTTTTGTACTTCAAAAGAAGCAAGAGATTAAAAAAATCAAATACCGTACTTCAGTGGGGGAATTGAATATTTCATTTTTGGATGCATGTGTGGGCATGTGGATAAATTGCTGACTGGGTTTCACTCATATTATCATGAGGATGTGTGTTGGGATGAAGAGGTTTACTATTTTCTAGCTACCGAGTCACAACCGTAAATGAAATCGTCGACATTCGTGTAATGTTTTCGAGCTCAATGGAACTACTACATTTAACATGTTCTATGGAACTTCATGAATCGGAATAGAACTCTTTCCACCTTAGAAAGTTGACATTATGAATTTGACATCATATCGAGACAGGTGGCTCAGGTGCATCGGTGTTGAGAGAGACAGTGGTGCAGGTGGTCGACCAGACGACCTGCGGAAGTGTCTACTCTCTCACAGGAAATATGTTCTGCGCTGCTGCTCCAGGCAAAGATACTTGTCAGGTGGGTAAACGACGAACCATGAAAAAAGCAAGTACATTTTCGGTTAGCACTTAACGTGAATGCAAAAATTAATCACGCGGAAGCATAATGAAGAATTGAATGATTAGAGAAGAACATTCAAACGGGAATCACAATCAACGCAACATAGCAAGAACTAAAAAGTACTTATGAAGAACGTTCAGAAGGTTCTAGGAATTCTGTTAGTGTAGAAAAAGGAAATCTAGCTTAACATATCAGAGGTTTTGGTTAAAGACTCATCTTGTTTATTTCTAAATTCAGTATTGTTAGTTCAGTTCAGTATTGAGCAGAGTTATTCATCTCAGTTCAGTTGTATTTTTCGAAGCCATGAAAGACGCGGCGAAAGCTCAGCGAGGAATTATTTTATTTTTGCGGGGAGAGGGTGCACACCCCGCTCGGAATCCCTCTACGCGATTGGCTCTTCTAGAGCCCTCCACTGATGTGTCTCGAGTCATAGAGGTAATGAAGGCCTTTCCCGTCATTGGAGGCAGGCATTATCTTAGCATTGGCCTTCCCGAAAGCATTTCTTCAGCTTGGGGGTCAATACAGTAAATTCATTACTCTTGATCCCATCATCATATATGATGACAAGTAATAAATTGGGTATTCAAGAAGGAATGAGTTCCATTCCATGCAGGGTAAGGTGTACACAGAACGTTTCATACATTGTCACAGTCAAATCAGAACAAGTAGCTTCTGCTCTTTATGTCTCCTCATTCCTTAGCCGATGAAAATCGTGAGTTGGGTTACCCTGAATACCAGGTGGCTCAAAAGTTCAGAAGTCTACAAAAGGAAAACGATAGATGATGACGAAAGGAAATGTTCATGGGGTGACGCAACATGAGTAGGTGATACCGCGAACATTTCTGATTAGTCATTTTAAAGGAAAATTTTGGAAAATAACCTGCACATGACACAGAGTATATTTACAAAAGATGGCTTCCATAGATTTTCATCCGTAATCGTGTCAAGACAGCTACTGGGTCACCTGGCGTCACATCCAATGTGCGTAGATGGTTTCCCGAATATTTAGTTGAAATTTGTCCAAGAATGTTGTTGATTCCACGTGAACAGGACGGAAATATGTAGTGGTGCGAATGGAAGACCCAACCTGGAGAGGATTGTCATAACGGAGAGAATGATATAAATAATGATGATTTAATGCTTGAAGCAAATCTCTTGAGACAGGATGACTTTACGAGATATATAGATTAATTTCCCCTAACAGATCGATCAAGCATCTCAAACTATGTGGAGTCGCTTGAAGTGGGGCCTGGGAAGGTCTCTATTTGTGGGGCTTGTGGGATTTTAAAAATATATTTCTCATTCATCCAGTCCAGCCTGATTGCTTATATTTTCCCATCGACGCGATGTTAAAGGACCGGAAGACTCTGCAAGGAATGCGTTTTCATTCCCTCAATGCAATGAAAACTGCACTAAACAGGTGGATCAGAAACACTCAATAAAAATTTTTTCTTGACGGTCTAAGGAAAGTGATTCCACGCTGGAGGAAGTGCGTCGAACTCAGGGGGGACTATGTTGAAAAGTCACTGAATAAAAAAGGTGACGAATAAAGAAGTTACCCATAAATTATAAAGAAATTCCTAGAACTTTCTGAATGCCTCTCGTACAATGAATGGAATACGAGAAAAACCTTGACTCTTGACAATAGAAATACATTATGAAATGTGTATCCAGCAACTTTCTTTTGACCGTCATGGGTAAATAGGGTGACTCGGGAGGGCCGGTGATGGTAAACACGGCCGGATACTTCGAAGAGATCGGAATCACCTCGTTTGGAAGTGGATGTGCAGAGCCAGGATTCCCCGGTGTCTACGCAACAGTAGCAAGTGAGTACATTCGTCCATTCATCATATACAGTAACGACTTTTTCATAACGCTTCCTCGAGCATAACATCATGTGTCACTTTCTATTCCAGACTACGTGGACAACTTCATCAAAGATAACACCGCTAATGCCAATTGGTGCCCACATCCTTGAAGACGTTTCCACTTTCACTTCACGTTGACTGTGAGTCAAGCGAGAATAAAAAAAAATGAAATGCAGGTACCGTTGTCCACTTATTTTCCATCAGATCAACTTTAAATGAATTAATGTTTGATAGCTCTCATTGACAGACATGGGATCAATCGAGTTTAAATCTAAATAAATTATATTCATCATTGTTTGCGAAACAGTACTACCTGATGAAACCACCTTTATAGCTCTATTTCAAGCTCATTTATACCGAAGGCGCTCCATAGGCCCCCTGTTGAACGAGCCGTCAGAATAACCAACTATTTCACCACTTATTCGACCTTTCCCAAGGGCCATCAGCTATGCAGAGACGGGAAGTGAGTGAGTGAGTGAGTGAGTGGGAAGTGAGTGAAACACGCGAAATGCAATCCGCCGCCACCCCCTCCGACCTCAGTTGCATGGTCAATTCTCCGATCACTTACAGTGGCCGACGAAGGGGAATGGGTCTGAGAAACCAAGGATGCAGTATGTCTCAACTACGAATCTCACGCCTCGTCTCGACCTGGCCACCTTCCTAAAAGGTTTGGAGAAGCAGTGAAGTCCTCGGATTATTCCTCGGCTGAACATGAGGGTCTATGACTTCCGTAATTTGCAGAACAAAGGAAAATATTATCCGTGCTCTAAAATCTCATGATTGGAAGCACGAAAAAGACATTAAAAAAAGGGATGACAATCATAAAAGGGATGAGACATTTTTAGGAATACAAATGTACTCCTAAATGACACTTTCCGCAGAGGAGATCTAGAATACCACGTACACAGGGAGCGTCCGTGAACTTAATTCTACTACAGGAGGTTAACAAAAGTTTCTGAAAATTTTTTGAAGTCCAATTTTCTGTCCTGTGTTTGTATGCGTGCAAAATGTTATAGAAATGCCCGAATGACAGTTTGCTTACCCGTCGCGTAAATTTAATCAAGTTTTATTTCAATTTACACGCGTTTGCAAACTGCCCATTTCGTCCACCGACACTTCTTGTGCAGACACAATGGGAAAAAAGAATTGATTGCAGCTCAACGGGGTGCTATATATTACTGCCGTAAGCGTGGTGACAAATATCACGAAATTGCAAAGACTGTCGGTTGTGGTGTGAGTACAGTTTATGACACTAGCGGTAGGCTGAAACCGGAACAACGGAATCCAAGTCACCTACCGGAGGACCACCCCGACTGGGCACCAAGGAGCTCGAGCGATTGGTAGTGAGAAAAAGAATCGGCGACTATGTAGGGCTGGGATGAAGAAACTTTGGCAAGAAAAAACTGGCCAAGAGGTTTCCACACATATCCTCAGCCGCATATTGCATTCAGTCGGGCTCAGAAACTGTGTGGCATGACCACTTGTTTCACCAAGAAACAAAGCAACATGACTCACCTGATACTTAGAGCAGGAAAACTGGACAACAAGGCAATGGAGAAAAGTATTGTGGAGTGACGAGTCCACATGTACTCAATTCCAGCAAAGTTGGTCTAGCCGAGTTTGGCGCGAGTCGAAAGATGAGCGGTCGTCCTCCTGCACTGCAGCAACTGTTTCACAGCCCCAGTCGCATGCACTGGGGCTGCTTTTCGTGGCAGGGTGTGGGACCCATTGTTCCAATACGTGGGTCAGTAACTGGCGTTTCATGCGTCGAAGCATTTCAAAAGTATGCGGTACCAACCGTTCAACGTATGCTTCCGAAGGGAGACGGTAGGTTTCAGCATGACAATGCCACTCCCCACAAATCCAAAGTCGCGGCAGCATTCCTCGCGGATTCGGGCATGCAAGTTCTCGAATGTCCGGCCCAGAGTCCGGATGTCAACCCGATAGAAAACCTGTGGGCGCGACATCTCCAAACAAAAAATAAGAAATACACAAAAGAAAGAAATACACAGCCAACCTTGTTGAGCTTAAAGAGTGTGTCAGAGCGGCGTGGGAGGTAATTCTTAAGAAAACGATCGAGAATTTGGAATGCCCCGCCGCATTCAGGTTGTGATTGCGGCAGAGGGTGGTCCAACCAAATACTATTAAATTACTGTATTATGAAATGCTGGGAATTATCAGTTGAAATAAAGTTGTTATAAACGCATTTGGTGGCTTTACTGTGAAAATTTTGAGTTTAGTATTAAGAGAAATTACTTTCGGAAACCTTTGTCAACACTATTTCCTCAACGTAATGGGAAATGAGGAAATGAAGGACTGATATCGCAGACACTTCATGGAACCGTAAGAGGTGGTCCATTCTATGAAATGTACTGGAATCAGTACACTAAGAGGCAGGTTGAGGTACAGGTAAGAGGCCTGTACTGTTTTATGTTACCTGCCTATCTTTATTTATCCTTTGGACCTCAAGGACTTGAGACACACAGTATATATGAGGATTTGCGTATTTGTATGACATCCCTATCTATTTTTTTTTAATAATACAGGGTCTTTCAAAAGTCACGCAACATATCATTTAAAATATTTTTTGAGTAACTTTAATAGAGTTCAAATAATCTAAATTGGCTTAATATTGAAGTTACAAATCTTGCCTATGAAAAAAAGTGTAATAGCAATTATTGGAAGTGGCCATCGCGTTCCTACATGCACATTACGACACGCTTGCGCATGTTCGCGTTCAACATAGTGTAAGGTCGCACGAGTAATGCCGGCAATGATTTGTGAAATGTTTGCTTCAACGTTTCCAATTCTTTGTGATTGTTTACGTACCCTCTTTCCTTAAGGTATTCCTACAGAAAGTAACGAGGTCNAAAAAATGAAATGCAGGTACCGTTGTCCACTTATTTTCCATCAGATCAACTTTAAATGAATTAATGTTTGATAGCTCTCATTGACAGACATGGGATCAATCGAGTTTAAATCTAAATAAATTATATTAATCATTAGGCAACCCTAGTTTGCGAAACAGTACTACCTGATAAAAACCACGTTTATAGCTCTATTTCAAGCTCATTTATACCGAAGGCGCTCCATAGGCCCCCTGTTGAACGAGCCGTCAGATAGAACAACTATTTCCCCACTTATCCGACCTTTCCCAAGGGCCTTCGGCTATGCAGAGACGGGGAGTAGGAAGTGGGTGAAACACGCGAAATGCACTCCGCCGCCACCCCCTCCGACCTCAGTTGCAAGGTCAATTCTCCGATCACTTACAGTGGCCGACGAAGGGGAATGGGTCTGAGAAACCAAGGATGCAGTATGTCTCAACTACGAATCTCACGCCACGTCTCGACCTGGCCACCTTCCTAAAAGGTTTGGAGAAGCAGTGAAGTCCTCGAATTATTCCTCGGCTGAGCATGAGGGTCTATGACTTCCGTAATTTGCAGAACAAAGGAAAATATTATCCGTGCTCTAAAATCTCATGATTGGAAGCACGAAAAATACATAAAAGGGAGGAGCAATCACAAAAGGGATGAGACATTTTTTGGAATACAAATGTATTCCTAAATGACACTTTCCGCAGAGGAGATCTAGAATACCACGTACACAGGGAGCGTCTGTGAACTCAATTCTACTACAGAAGTTTGACAAAAGTTTCTGAAAATTTTTTGAAGTCAAGTTTTTCCTGTTCCTGTGATTATACGCGTGCAAAATGTTATAGAAATGACGATTGACAGTTTGTTTACCCGTCGCGTAAATTTAATCACGTTTTATTTCGATTTACACGCGTTTGCAAACTGCCCATTTCGTCCACCAACACTTCTTGAGCAGACACAATGGGAAAACAAAGAATTGATTGCAGCGCAACGGGGTGCTATATATTACTGCCGTAAGCGTGGTGACAAATGCCACGAAATTGCAAAGACTGTCGGTTGTGGTGTGAGTACAGTTTATGACACTAGCGGTTGGCTGAAACCGGAACAACGGAATCCAAGTCACCTACCGGAGGATCACCCCGACTGGGCACCAAGGAGCGCCGCCAGCTCGAGCGATTTTTACTGAGAAAAAGAATCGGCGACTATGTAGGGCTGGGATGAAGAAACTTTGGCAAGAAAAAACTGGCCAAGAGGTTTCCACACATACCCTCAGCCGTATATTGCATTCAGTCGGGCTCAGAAACTGTGTGGCATGACCGAAGCAACTTGTTTCACCAAGAAACAAAGCAACATGACTCACCTGATACTTAAAGCAGGAAAACTGGACAACAAGGCAATGGAGAAAAGTATTGTGGAGTGACGAGTCCACATGTACTCAATTCCAGCAAAGTTGGTCTAACCGAGTTTGGCGCGAGCCGAAAGATGAGCTGTCGTCCTCCTGCACTGCAGCAACTGTTTCACAGCCCCAGTCGCATGCACTGGGGCTGCTTTTCGTGGCAGGGTGTGGGACCCATTGTTCCAATACGTGGGTCAGTAACTGGCGTTTCATGCGTCGAAGCATTTCAAAAGTATGTGGTACCAACCGTTCAACGTATGCTTCGGCAGGGAGACGGTGGGTTTCAGCATGACAATGCCACTCCCCACAAATCCAAAGTCGCGGCAGCATTCCTCGCGGATTCGGGCATGGAAGTTCTCGAATGTCCGGCCCAGAGTCCGGATGTCAACCCGATAGAAAACCTGTGGGCGCGACATCTCCAAACAAAAAATAAGAAATACACAAAAGAAAGAAATACACAGCCAACCTTGTTGAGCTTAAAGAGTGTGTCAGAGCGGCGTGGGAGGTAATTCTTAAGAAAACGATCGAGAATTTGGAATGCCCCGCCGCATTCAGGTTGTGATTGCGGCAGAGGGTGGTCCAACCAAATACTATTAAATTACTGTATTATGAAATGCTGGGAATTATCAGTTGAAATAAAGTTGTTATAAACGCATTTGGTGGCTTTACTGTGAAAATTTTGAGTTTAGTATTAAGAGAAATTACTTTCGGAAACCTTTGTCAACACTATTTCCTCAACGTAATGGGAAATGAGGAAATGAAGGACTGATATCGCAGACACTTCATGGAACCGTAAGAGGTGGTCCATTCTATGAAATGTACTGGAATCAGTACACTAAGAGGCAGGTTGAGGTACAGGTAAGAGGCCTGTACTGTTTTATGTTACCTGCCTATCTTTATTTATCCTTTGGACCTCAAGGACTTGAGACACACAGTATATATGAGGATTTGCGTATTTGTATGACATCCCTATCTATTTTTTTTTAATAATACAGGGTCTTTCAAAAGTCACGCAACATATCATTTAAAATATTTTTTGAGTAACTTTAATAGAGTTCAAATAATCTAAATTGGCTTAATATTGAAGTTACAAATCTTGCCTATGAAAAAAAGTGTAATAGCAATTATTGGAAGTGGCCATCGCGTTCCTACATGCACATTACGACACGCTTGCGCATGTTCGCGTTCAACATAGTGTAAGGTCGCACGAGTAATGCCGGCAATGATTTGTGAAATGTTTGCTTCAACGTTTCCAATTCTTTGTGATTGTTTACGTACCCTCTTTCCTTAAGGTATTCCTACAGAAAGTAACGAGGTCTGGAGACCAGAGATTCTCGCTTATGATTCTCGCTTATTATATGCAACAGAATCGTCTGTATCGACCGAATCTCAAAAGGCAGTTCTGCTTTGCATTGTGAAGAAGACTGCCTCATAATTTTTCTGATCATATCGACATCGCACTAGAATGACGACGGATTCATGCAACTTCTGTCGCATGTATTTAATGTGCTCTTTCCTCGTGTGACCCCAAATCCTTGAAATATCTTACGTTGGGTCCACCCCCAGCACGAAACGCTGAACCTCCTTCCCCTATTACCAGAGATACTTCCCCGAACGTTCGAATGCTGACACGCGCTTTGAATCGAGTCGAGAGTGCGGTGAATTCCATGGTCATATTTAGAAATAGCTTAAATATATATATATATATATATTTTTTTTTTTTTAAACACGAAATACGCCGTCCATATGACCGAAGCTTTAGCTGCTTCATGTCCAGAACTTTTGGTGTCTTTCCTCCAGATATTTCCGCTTTTGCCACTGGTATATGCTGAATAAAGATGAATTGAATTGTTTTTTTTTCCAACATAGGAGCACTTATTGCATTCTGAAAACCAAAAAAGGAATATGCCATATCTGCTCCAACAAGAGACATGGAATAATTCTCATCATTCTTTTACATCTGCATCGCAAATACACGTGGCCGAGTCGAATGCGGATCCGTGTGAACGCAGGTATTGGGTACGGCACGTGTACGGCTCCGTAGGCCAGGACCTCATAAAGTCTGGATACAGGTCGAAGGGGAATACAGTTCCAACAGTATTAGGATATGCAGACCGCCATGGTGTTCTGGTATCTCACGCTATTTCTCTCACTCATCGTTCTGATTCACAGCCTGGTTAGAGACGCACAATATTAGGGTTGTTGAGTCTGAATGCTTCATTGCTGGTATGCGCTTATGGAGGAAGAGTCCGGAGGAATCGATGACGAATCCGAATAAGGCATTAGTGCTAGAGATTTGTGGATAGGGAAAATTTAGCTATGATCCAGCGTAATTCATGCGGTTTTGCTCCCATAGGTGCACATGATGGCATCAAAAGGCAAAAAAAGAACACAATTGCGCTCACAAACGGCATGGAATAATGACCAAAGGGGATCGGAAAGACCCCTCTTTGATTTGGGTAGAAACGCGTTTTGGGCGTGGAACGGCTCGCAATAAACGGTATGCTGTGTAAGTAGACAGGGTAGCGAAGCGAAGTGTGCCCGTGGCACGGAAACCCATGCAAGACCATGACATCGTGAAATTCGAAACTTATGAAAAGTCCTGTACACCGAAAATCTCTTTCTTTTTGAGATGGCTTTCGTGAATTCGATTCCGGTCATATCACACTGATTCAGAACTGTCATAAAAATACTTTTTTCGTCACCTTTAATCACAATTTTTTTGGCTTCAGTTCCTAACGATCCCAGTTCAACTTTACTACATTTTCCCTGCTCAGGTGACTCAGTCTAAAAGAGTTCTGGCGTGTGTTAAGATCCTAATAGTCAATGGATGGACATGCGGTACTTGGATTTGATAACTTATTTCACAAGTAAGCATTTGTGAATACACATTTGTGCACGGGTTTTTGAATCACAGCGACACATTTCCTCGGAGGTATTCGATGACTGTTCCTTTTTTTGCATCACCTACGTGAAAATAATTTTTCTCATCTTCAGTATCTCCTGTGCTCTCTTCAACTTCTGACGAAGGATTTCTACCTCTAAAAAATGAGCATTCACGGTTTCCGGTGCGATGACTTCATGTCATTTTTTTCATTTTCAAGGGATGAGATCTGCTGGCCCTCCGTTGGATCTAAGGCAAGATTCTATGCTGGAACGGCATCTTTCAAGCGCATTATAGCGTTTCGATCACGATAGGAATCGAAAGAGAAGGGATGCGACCACACAAAAGCATACCTAGGGATATATTTTCTACTAAGCGATTGGAGTCTATCATATTTTCTGTCTAGACTTTTTGGAAATTCATGTAAAAGAATATTGTTATGCCTGCCGAATCCTGGAAGTATTCTTACAGGATGCGACAATGCAAACATTGCATCTGTCCTTCATAACAACTGCTATTAAGAGAGTAAATGAAATTAAGGAAAATAAGAATATTATCGAAACCAACGAACAGATCAACTATGTATGTACAGTACTATACTGCCTAGGTGGCTGACAAACGCGAGTAGATTGTATTAATGCTGTGAGAGACAAGGGAAAGAGTGAATGCAACCTACCTTGGACTTTACCAGCGAGGTAGAAAGTCGTCAAGGCCAAAGCGTCCGTTTTTATAGCGGAAACGGTTCGCTGACGTCATCACACGCGCAATATTTTACTCCTCTCTCTTCGACCCCTCTTGCTAATGGCACATCTGCAAAGCATGTACATGTCGCTGTGCTCAAACACGCCACGTGAGCTAGCACCCAGGTGATCAAGGATCACAACCTATATAAGTTCTGCTGTGGGGAACGCCCTCCACATCATCAGGAAGACCAGAGAGCCATGGGATTTTCATATCTCACACGATTTCTCCCTCTCATCGTCCTGATTCACGGCCTGGTTAGAGAGGCACACTCTAATGCATTTCAGTGTTGTGTAGCATACTGATTTCAAGGAATTTTGCCTTCGTTCCAGGATGGATGGGGATTTGATGGGGACCATAGAGACTGGGAAGAACCGGCGAAGAGGCAGACGCCATCATGTTCTTCAAATCTGATGCTATCTCAGGGACAATCATCACCTCTAACCACTGGGAACAATTTCGATATTCGCTCTTGCACTTGGATTTTCCGAGTCAGTCATGGAGATTTTTTTTTTTTTTTTTTAGCCTGAAATGAATTTTATGTCAAACTAAAAAAGTCATTCTCTTTCCCAGTGCACAGGGAACATTTCCATTCAATGCTCCAATGTCTATCTTCCATGTAATCGTTCGTGGTTCAGCGTCAACGGCAGGAGGTATACCCGAGAGGATTTTCTTTCCTGGTGTCGTTAGCCTTCATGAAGGCGTGACAAATTAGTTCGAAATGTTTCATTACAAAGATATTGCGGTTCAGGGAGATTGAACTCAGTCAATGCGGGAAAACTTTTGACGGTCCAACTCAATCAGATCTTCGGAAGGGGTGCTAGATTCAGCTGCACTGTAAACTGCGGTCAGTTTCTCGTCATTCAAAGCATATATGTATCAATATATTGAAGAGAATCGTCTATTAGATATATCTACCACAAATAGCTTCTGTTACTACGACGACAACCCCAAGGACTACAACAACCCCAAGGACTACAACAACCCCAAGGACTACAACAACCCCAAGGACTACAACAACCCCAAGAACTACAACAACCACTACGACAACAACCATTCCAACAACAACTTTAGCCCCTGCTTGCTGTGAGTAACTTCACGTACTTCGAGGGTCACTGGTGTTCTAAAATAATTATGAATTGCTTTCGGATCCGCTTCAAGTTTGCGGCGTGTCCAAGAGCGGCAGTTCAGGTAAGCGATCGACGTGGACAAACATTACTCAGGAGATGCTGGATGTAGATCGGATCGTGGGAGGGGTGGCGGTGACAAACCAAGAGAAGTATCCCTGGATGGTTTATTCTGGGGGATGCGGAGGAACTCTCATTAACGACCGCTACATCCTCACCGCTGCTCATTGCGTCACGTCTGTTTAGTTCCCATTCCGTCTTTTTCTTCTTTGTTATATAAAAGAAGTAGTAAATAGTGCGTGCGAAAAAAACCTTATCTATAAGCGCAGGAAGTCACACGATCGTCTGCCTATCACTCCGCCAGTTTGCAATCGGTCTACCATTCAAGTCTCTGAATATTGAAAGAATTCAATTGCTAGATTCTATGGTTATTTTCTTGAACTGCGAATTTACTGGCGAATAAAAGTTAATCGATGCGAACATTTTCCTGATAAAAAAATCCGATTACTCGTTTATGAAAAATGCATGTATTTCTGAAATACCTCTGCATTTTCCATTTGATTGATTCTATTTTTCCGATAAAGACCATCGGGGAGGTACACGGTGACCCTGGGTGACCTGGACAAATCGATTAGCACAGAAAGCAAATCCATTAGTATCGCTTCGACAGCCATCCGCCATCCACAATATAACTCAAGCACAAACAACAACGACATAGCACTGCTGCGGCTGGACACCCCCGTGAATTTCCAAGCCTTTCCCAACATCCGTCCTATCTGCCTTTCGTCCTCCGCTCAACCAGTGACGGGCCAGAATACCACCATTACCGGATGGGGCACCACTTCCTATGGTAGGTCGAGGATCATAGCATCTAGCTTCCTGCATTAATATTACATTCCTTTGTGCTCTTTGTTTCAGCAAGCTTCGGTACTTACTTTATGCTTCTAAATTAACACAATATTGACAAAATTAATTTCTGAAAGGGAAATAATTACTTTTTGCAGCCTTCTGGGAAACAGGGAAACTCATTTCTCAACTTTATATATATATAAATCCTTCCACGGCGACTGCCAGTATTGCAGATATGAGGGGGGATGAACCACATCCTAGAACTCACACTCGCCTAATTCTGAAGGACACGACGAAGGATGCTGACCGTGCCAAAGACTGCTGTACGCTGGAGGATATCGAGTGACATTTCAAACTCCAGCTTCCTGACATGTCCCTTGAGGTCTTTCAGGACGACGCCAGTTGTGCCGATGATGATCGGAACGATGGTGGTCTTCATTCCGCACAACTGTTCTACTTCCACTTTCAGCTCGGAGTATTTCTTCAGCTTCACCCTGGTCTTCTCTTGGAGGTTATCATCAGCTGGGATGCTCACATCTACAAGGAGGGCAGTCTTCTTCTCATTCTTGTAGATCGTGAGGTCTGGCCTGTTACAGCCTATGGGGCGGTCTGTAATTATGGGCATGTTCCAGAGTACCTTGGTGGAAGTTTCTCCACTACAGGCTGTGGCTGGTGTTCGTACCATTTCTCTGGGAGACCCAGCTCGGCTTCATCCGCTTCCGAAACGCACTCCATCTCGATAACGATTGCGATACGACGCATATGAAGACGGCAACCCAAATACAAAGAGAGGCTCGATGGAAGAAGAAACCGCTTCACGGCCAGCATCCCAAGATCATAACTGGCTGAAGAAGGGACTGTAGAACGCCGAGACAGAGAGCAACATCCCAGCCATTCATGATCAGTGCATTAGAACTCGTAACTACGAGAAGCACATCCTGAAGCTGGATGTGGAAGACTGCTGCAGATGCTGTCATTGACCACCCGAAACGGTTTACCGCCTCCTTAATGCCTGCCCCGAACTAGCCCCGAGGGAGTACTTTCATAGGCACAAATGAGTAGTCCCTGCTTCCTTTTGATGTATCTGGCGACTTCGCACGTCGTCCGCTTATAGAGGGATTCGAGTTCCATCATTCCTCTCCCTCCCTTGCATCTCGGAAGGTAGAGTCTTGATGATTTGCGTCATTGGTGGTGGTGATATCCGAAGAGTGGGGATTCCGCGGTGGACAGAGAGCTTCGCGCACTTGTCGAGTCCGAATTTCATGCAGATGTCTTTCAAAAAGATGCTGACGACGTTGAGTAGGTTTTCGAGCTGTTTCTCGTTGGAGGCGTATAGTTTCAGGTCGTCCATATAGAGAAGGTGGTTCATGCAATAGACTGCATTCTTCCCCTTTCCTACATAATGACTACAGTTAGTCCGAGATAGCTCGGTACTGAGTGGGTTGAGAGCCTGATAGAAGAGGAGAGGAAACAGCGTGTCTCCCTGGAAGATCTCGTGTTTGATGGATATCTCGCGGGTTGTCAGGGTGGAGTCCTGTCCCTTGAGGGACATTACAGTCTTCCAGCGAGGCATGGTCTGTTGGAGAAAGTTGACAACCACAGGGTTGATATTGTACATCCTGAGGCACTCGATGATCCATGAATGGGGCACCGAGTTGTATGCTTTATGGTAGTCGATCCATGCCATCGAGAGGTTCTTCTTCCTGATTCTGGCATCATCCATGACCATACGGTTGAGTAAGAGGTGTTCCTTGCAGTCGTACGATCCTTTCCGACAACCCTTTTGCTCCTCCAACATGATGTTGTCATAGATGTGTCGTTCGATTCCTGCTGCTAGGATAGAAGACAACACTTTGTAGACGGTTGGCAGGCAGGTGATGGGCCTGTAATTCCGAGGTAACTCAATGTCGGCGTTTTTCGGCAGTGGGTGACTCCTGCGGTGACCTAATCCGGCATCTCCGAGGGGTCTTTCACTACTTTCTGCATTTCTCTGGCGAGTTGTTCATGTAGTGATGTTCTGCTTCAGCCAAAAGTTCGGAAGACGGTCTTGTCCGGGGCTCTTCCAGTTCGCTATTTCTTTGAGCGCATTCTTCAGATCAGATTTTGTAATCTGAGGGTCACTCATTACGGGAATATCTGTTAACTCCCTCTGACGTCTGAGCCAGGTGGCATCGACGTTGTGGCTCACTGGGCATTCCATGATGTTCGACCAGAATTCTTCCACTTCCGCCTTGTCAGGAATCTTCTTCACTTCTATGGGTTTCCCTTCCAGTTCCCGGTTGAATAGCTTCTGGTTATTCGCGAAACGCTCTTTATGCTGGAAGTAATTGACCCTTTTCGTGCACCGCCTTATCCTCAGCTTGGATCTTCATCTTCAAGTTCTCCATGTCGGTCGTGAGATCGGAATCGGAGGTGATATTGTACTTGGAGCACAGCCGCTTGTAGGTCAGCTTCACTTTCCGGGACGGAAATGCTGTATATATATAGCTGAATATAATGTCATGGAAATACATGATCAGAAGGGTAAGCCCTTGACCAGCCAGCCCAGCGACCACGGAAGTCCTCCGACACTAATCCTGAAATTACTGTAACATGCCGGGCTGAATAGGGGGGGAGGGGGTCCGGGCAGAATAGGGGGGAAGGGGGGGGGGGGGTCCAGGCAGAAGAAGGCGATAAAGGAAAAGAAAGTGAAGCTCTAGGCTAGAGTTTTTGACTCTGTTCGACCGGTATCGACAGGGGGTGTACGGCTGGCATAGAGCATTAATAGCTATTGCAACCTGTTTCTGCGGTCAACCTAACATGCCAGGAATATCAGATAGAACTTGGAAGTACACCCTCTGATGATACCGGTCGAACAGCGGCAAAACTCTAGCCTAATATAATGAAGTAATGCTTTCTAGCTCAATTAAACTGCTGCATTTAGAATGTTCCATGGAACTTCGGGAATCGAAATATGACACTTTCCACCTAAGAAAGATGACTGTGAGTTTGACATCATATCGAGACAGGTGGCTCAGTGTCGTCAGTGATGAGAGAGGCCGTGGTGCAGGTGGTCGACCAGACGACCTGCGGAAATGTCTACTCTCTCACAGGGAATATGTTCTGTGCTGCTGCTCCTGGCAAAGATACTTGTCAGGTGGGTAAATCATTATAAGTTTTAAAAATGTAATGTTAATTTTCGATTAGCATTCAACGTGAAAAAATAGACGGGAAATTAAAATGAAGAATTGAATTACAAGTGAAGAGCATAAAATGCGAATCACAGTCAATGCAACATAGCAAGAGTACAAATGTTCTTACAATGATGGAGTAGAGTCGTTTGGTGATTGAATACGAGAAAAACGACTTTCCCTTGGCTGTAGAACTACACTATGAAGTCTATGCAACAACTTTCCTTTGACCGTCATTGGCAAATAGGGTGACTCGGGAGGCCCAGTGATGGTAAACACGACAGGATATTACGTAGATATCGGGATCACCTCGTTTGGAATAGGATGTGCAGAGCCAAGATACCCCGGTGTCTACACAAGAGTCGCCAGTGAGTACACTCGTCCATTCATCATGTCCAGTAGGGTAGGTGATACAAATTTCGACCCCCTCATTTCCCCCCTTCTGCACCCTCACTCACGAATTGCAATTCTTTTTCGAGGGGGATCTATGCCATGCGAAAGGAAAACGCATACGCTGGCCTTTCACGTTTAGAAACCAATCATTGGTGTACCCAGGATGTGCCACACATTCACACTAAATCTAAGTCTTGCATTTCCTGTACAAATAACTTCTCATGGAATCTGGTGAATCTCAACAACACACAAGGGCTCACAGTAACTATTCACAAATTTGTTCGCTGTAACCCCGTTCTTATTGGCGGCAATCTGGAATCTTTGAGTCGGTCAGTCGAACGCACCTGACGGACATGGTTTCACTCGTCTTTCGACACGAACCTTGACTGATTCAGGTGGCTGAACTTCGTTTATGGGGACTTGCTTCCGACTTTGCATACAATAATCGGTTTGGTTACGGCCAGAGTTGCATGGGGGTCATTCGTATTCTTTCATCATTTCTGTCTCATGGTCAACCAGACTATTTCTTGAACCTCAAGCTGGAGACCTTCTAGACGGAGAAGGATTCATGTTAAAACAGCCAAGGTTGACCACCGAAGACTCACATAGAGGTGTAGTAGTTTTTTTATTTACTATTTTAGGCGTACCGAAATTTAAAAAAAGTAACAAGCGGTATGAATATTTATAGCCCACAATGCAATTTGGTTGAAAATGGCTATTTGGTCTTCTGATTATATTGAAATATGTAACGTGGGGACGAACTTCACTGCATGGTCGGAATTTATATCACCTATCCTAAATTACTTTTTTCCATAATGTTTCCTCCAGTTTCCTTGTATAATTTTCTATTCCAGACTACGTGGACAACTTCATCAAAGATAACACCGCTAATGCCAAATGGTGCCCACATCCCTGAAGACGTTTCCACTTTCATTCCACGTTGACTGTGAGTCATGCCAGAATAATAAAAAAAAATTAAATGCAGGTACCGTTGTCCACTAATTAGGTGACATCCATCAGATGGACTTAAAATTAACTGATAGTTCATGACTGTCATTGATACTCATGATATCATCGAGTTAAAATCTAAATAAATTATGCTTTATTAGGAAACCATGGTATGCGAAGCAGTACTTCCTAACGCAACAACCCTCATTCACTTTCATTCTCATGTATCAATCCTCAATTCATTACGTTTCGACTTCACAAAGTTTCATCTTCATTAGTGCAGTTCTTTCGATCTGCTGCTTGTCCATATTTATTTTTAAGATTACTTGGTTTATTTCCTTAGCATTTTCGACTCAAATTTTGAGAATACCTAAATAAAATCATGAATCTTGGCAAAATAAATTTCCACCGTACCCGCTCGCTTAGCAAATTCCTGTAGCGAGTTCGAGATGAAGAAGGTGATGGATTCATTCTTTAGAACCGATGAATCCCTCCTCAAAAGTGTATATATCGCAACATAATTTATGTTGCGATATATACACCGTTGATCCATAATTTATTAATGTGGAAAGACTGCGAACTACGTGTTGCTTGGTGTTAACTTTGACATTCACGTCATTTCTATCTTAGATATTTCTATCTTATAGATAGTTCGGCAGATCAAATAGGCCAGTGAGGGGACGATTAAAGTTATAGTTAAAGTTCTCACACTAGAACTTTAAATCCATCCCTAATGGAGGTGCAAAGCTGTCATTACGCTAAAGTCAGGGGAATACCAGGGGTCCACCCCTGGTATTCCGGGAAAATATATTTTAAAATGTTTATATAAATTATATATTAAGGAATGGAAATGCGTACTTACCGTGTATGAATGTGACATCTTCGAAGATCATTTTATAGATTCACTACAAGCTGACTGCGTACAGAACAACCATCATCGAATGAAATAACTTTCGCACTCACATACAAAAGATCAACAATTCCAACAATCTAGTATGAACTAGATTCAGCTCCTCGAGAACACCTACCTCAAATCTAGCCGCACACATGAGAACTGGCACAAGCACACACGCATCCAATGATAGCCCCACTGCGAAGAGGCAAAATGAAAAGCCAACCAGACGCAAGAAATAGAGAAGCCAGACAGGCGACCTTGAGCTTTGCACAGTCGAGCAAGGATTCACGAGTATTCTCACTGCCTCGGGGTATTTTTACCCTCCAATTCCTTCTCAGTTCGAATCAATCCTTATGAAGTGTCCTTTTACATTGCACTACAATTCATGCTCGAGCAAGATACTTTCCGTTGCAGCCGGCATGTGTCTTTCACGAGGGTGAGAGAGTCGGAAAAAAACAGCCCTCTTTATTAAGCTGCTTTATTAATTGCATCGTTCCAATGTATCATTGCTCCATTTTTGCTGATCAAAACCGTCTCTAATCTTGTCCATTTTACATTTTGGACTTTAGTCACCAGCTTGCAATGCAAACCACTTTCATTCATTGCATTATTCTACAATAATGTGACAAGGTGAAAAGGTAACAAAGTGAAAATCTTGATAAGTACATGCAGATTAGAGTCCAATGCACAATATACAAAATTGGATTTTCCAAGGCATATGGCTTTCGCACGGCTAGGAGAATGAGCGATAAAGGTTAAAACTATCAAAATAAGCACAATCCTTTCTCATTCTCCCAATACTTGCAACTGCCAACATCACAAAGTTGGGGAACGACGACCCCACGTGGCAGAAATATTGCAAAATCCTGTACCCAAAGCACGTGCTAGGCCAGTATTGAAAAAGCACAATGAGGCAGATATTCAGTTGCTTCTAAATTGCATTCTTCTACAATATTTGTCGAACATCCTCTTTTCCCACTGAGATCGCAAATGTAGGGCAGCGTAGAATAAAATGACATGGAACCGGAATTGTGAAATCTACTCTTGACTGACATTGAACGTTCCTCCCACCGACATATGTACTACTGAAGTGAAGTGTTATCGGCACCGACGAAGAATGTGGGCAACGAAGATTCAAAATATGGCGGAGAACTACAATAATTACACGAACAACGGCACGGACTTCGTGAGAAAGATGAGTGGCTTAGACAATGATTCAATGAAGTAGTGTGAAAACGATTTTTCAAAGCTTTTCCCCTTTCTTCGACTCTTCCGCCTCCTTCCCCCCACTCCCTTTTCCCTCTCCACGGATCTCACCAACGTTATGCTTAGCCAGTGGCGTATTTTGGCTGAAGGGTCGGGGGGGGGGGGGGGGGGCAAGGACCCAGAGTGGTCAAACCCCACCCGAGCGATATCAGATGGGGAGATTTATTTTATTTATTTTAGCTGGAATACTATCTCCGAAAACACCCCAAAGCGGCTACTCGGAGGGGGGGGGGGGGGGGGGGGAAAAAAAAAAGCCCCAAGGAATGAAAAGATTTTTTCACTTGTACCTGATTTAGCCCACAGGAATGAAATTCACATCTTCAAAAGGCGAGAATCAGTGTTCTTCGCTATCTCAGGGGGTTGGAGCTTAGAGGTGAGCAAATCTGTGTTTAGAGGGGAAGAGGGGAAGAGAGGGTAAACCATCAAAGTACGGGCAGTACCATAGTTCGGACACCATAATATGTTATGAATCAAAGTATTTGCAAGGTCACCCTTAGAAACAGCTCTTCCAAGCTGCGAAGGAGTGTTTCTAAGGGAGAGCTCACCAATGCTTGGTTTTGTAACGATGTACGTGATAGTGTCCGAACTTTGATGGTTTTACACTACCCAATTTTGTTCCTCTAGATCAATGGTGCACAACCTTTTCCCCGTAGAGGGCCAAAATTTAGATTTCGGCTCATGTTTGAGGGGATGGAGGGCCGCAGACCCTCGAACATGAGCATAAATAGGCCGCATATAAATATGGATCTTTAAAGACCGGAGGCATCCAAGGGGCCGCAAAAAAGGTCTCTGCGGGCCGCGGGTTGTGCATCACTGTTCTAGATTCTCTGAGAGAGGAATCAGAGGGGGTTGCATTTTGTGACAGAAAATGGTTGAAGAAAGGGAATAGGTGCGTTAGAACCCTCTGATCTATTCCTATTATCATGTAAGTTACTCACAGTACTATTGCATCTCAGGGTCACCTAATAGACTTCAAAATCTTTGCAAATCGAATGACAAGAAATGGGATGCATTCTGATACCTTTTAACCACTTTTAACCCCATGAATACTGTATCATGTGAAATCGACCCGTTGATACCCTTGGATGATCCACAATTTTGAAGCAGTCGAAGTAACGGCGGGAAAGGGAGTTGCACGGAGGGAGGAGTCTCCTCGAGTCGAATCAATGCATGCCACTGTCGACGATCCGAATTTTTCGTTGGAGCAATTTACTGCGCATCATGCTGACAACCTCCTCGATGATGTCGTAGATGGCGAGAAGAGAAACACCGAGATACATTCCGACGGTTCCTCCGATGTTGGAAAGGAGATCCGGAATAGACACCTTCTCCTTCTCCAGGAAATTAAGCACCTGTCAGCATTCAATTTTTGTTTGTTTTTTGCATATTCAAACTGGTTTGAGGATTAGGGAGCATCCATTTGCAGCGCAATTCTTCAAAACGTAGGGAATAAATATTGCAAGCATGAGGCTATAACTACCTTATTACGTCAAATAAAAAATGTGGAATTTTTATGGGGCAAAATTGATTTAGACATGGTTACCTGCTTTTTCAAATCTTTTTCGACTTTAAAGTGCAGTTTTAGTCTTTAAAGTACCGCGATTGGACGGGAGCATGACGGTCACTGTAGGAGACACCCCAACGGCTGAACCACTCCATAATAAGCAGATCCATAATAAGTGAATTCTGTACATTTACTCGATGGACAACAGAATGAGTTCTTTTTTGCCTGCTTCAGTAAATTATTTTCAGCAAATGATGGGAAATATAGCCTCCTACGCAGTCGAACTTTTAATATCAGACACCTACTGCTCGAAACACAGCATAAGCATAAAGAAATCAATTCTATTTCAATAGGATTTACACTTTGTTTCTATATTTTGCTCATTATAATTATTGGAGTCCCTAATTTCTAGACTCGGTCTCCGGAGCAACCCGTGAATTTGGGGGCTGTTTCCAAGAACGCTTGACTATGAGAAAAAGATATGAGATATATTAATATGCACATAATCTAAAATGAAAAGATTTTTTCACTTGTACCTGATTTAGCCCTGCTGCGGTTTTTAAAATCGAAAACTAGAGACATTTTACTATCACAACTCACATGGTAACTCACATTCAAATTCAAGGGTTAAAATAACAATTTCGACTCTCTAATACTGACTTTTTTAAAAATATTTTCTAGTACCGATAAAAACTACAATGGAATCAAGTGGAATCAAGAAATCTTTACGGCTACGGACGAACAGCAGGGAAGATTCGGCTCTTGTCAAAATAAAGCCAAGAGATTTGGGAATTTTTAGATAGTTAAATCTAGGATCAAACCTATTCGCAGAGAATTACAGAGAATTTATCGCACATAGGATGGTGTTGGCGATGGGGATGGTTGAAAAACCGAGAGTTTTTCACAAGTGAAACAAGAAACCATCCTTAGGTATGAGTGCTCTTTCTTTTGACTTAGTCTTTCAAGTGCTGAGGATTTCGTGCATGAAAGTGTGGGACTTTCGGAGGACAGTATAGCTTGATTTGTATCAACTTTCAAACTTTGACCAAAGATAAGACAGTACACGAACAAAAAAAAAATAGGAGTAAAAGAACTTCGACGATCGGAAGAACCTCATTTAAGTGGTGCTGCAACGGTACTCCCGGTCGGAGCAGAGCTGCTTTGAGAGCCTAAAAAAATTTCTCGGCACGGTGTCCCGCTTTCATCCCTTTCCCCCCAGGGCGCCTTAAACTTCGTGCATTCAAAGAATATATGCTATTCAAAGTACCAATGCATTCTGTGACATTATGGGACAAACACACTTGATGGGTGAGATATTGATCTTCCTTCTGCTCGTCCGAGCGCGTTCAAATATTGTTATCGCGATTCCTTGT